TAAATGAAAAATAAATACAATTTAAATATCTAAAAGTAAAAAAGAAAAAAAGAGAGAGAATAGGAACAAATAAAAATAGTGGTGAGAAAATTAACCTGAATTCAGGTTATGAAAAAAAAATCGATCCTATAACGTTCTTTCCAACAGCTTAGAAAAAAAAAAAGCAAATACAATCAAAAGCAATATTCTGTGTGTCCATACAAAAAAGAAACTGATACATCAGGAGAAGATGATTAATAAATTCTTAATTAAAGAAAAAACATGGAAGTAACTGATAAAATATTGAGATATGCAAGAAAAATCAGATTTATAAGCTATGTTAAATAAAAATAAAGATCAAAGAAGTAGTATTTAAGGAAGGTCATTTGTTTTTGTTTCAATTAGTAAGATATTAGGACCAAACTTGAAGAAAATAAAATCAATTCAGAGATTCAGGGAAAGTCAGATTGTAAAGTATTCAGGAAAGAAAGAGTAGAGAAATAAAATATGAGAGAACTGGATAGGATAATTCAAGGCAAAAGAGAATAAGGGAGGCATGGCTCTAGTTGGAAGCATAAAGACTGCTATTCCTCTTTATTTCTTTATTTTAAATATCAAGAAGCATAAGCACAGGCAAAGGATTTAATAGAAAAGGCACAATTTAAGAAGAGGAAAGCAACTTAAGAATAATGGGGAAAATAAATAAAAGAGCAAACAAAGAAATTTTATTTTTAAATACAATAATCATTAGTCAATTTATTTTTATTGCAGTGTGAATCTGTATAGGTTTTCCCAAAAGAGAAGAAGTGATTCAAATATAAAATAAAGCCTTTTTAATATATTAAAAAATGGTTTAGATCAAATAATAATTTTCAATATCAAAACAAAGCCTATCTATATATAATATATATGAAAATACTATATAAAGGCTGACACTCTCATTTGGTAGACTGTTTCGTGTTAAATTCTTCATGTAGGAAAAGCTTCACATTAATTCTAAGAGATAAAATATACCCTTCCTTCACTATTTAAAAACTTATTTTAATTTTACAAAGCAGATTTGTTTTACATTCAACAATTCATATACATATTGTTTTACGTCACTGATTACAATCCCTACCATGTAACAGCTCTGCTCTAACCTCCTCCCTGGGATTTTCCATTCCCTATTCCCTTCCTATCTCACCTGCCTAACTTTCTCACTGTTCAAATGCTGCCCTTTGATCTCCCATGCTTCATTTCATCTTCCCTTGCTTAACTTTCATATTGCAAAAAAAATTAAAAATCCACATGTGAAATATAGTAACATTAACAGGGAGAAATGATATGATACTGTTAGAGTTTCATTCTGAGCTTGAAGTACAAAAAAAAAAAAAAATGCAACCATTGCCGTGGAGTCGGACCCGACCCATAGCGACCCCTCCTTGGGTTTCCGAGGCAGTATCACTACGGAAGTAGGATTGCCCAACCTTCCTTCCGGGGAGTGGCTGGTGGAGCTTGAAGTAGAATGAGCCAATTCCATTAGCAGAATTATCACTGAATTATCACTGAAATTGATTACTTATTCCAATATTGCAATATTGACTACAAATTGTTGTTAACTATCCTGGAGTGCAAAACCATTCCAAACAAGTCAATTTTTTTTCTCATCTGTATCCATAAAACAGGTCTAAAGCGAAATTCTCATGTAAAATATGATTGTAAATACATATAAGGTCAAAATTGATCTGTTGTTTCCTTCTAAACAGATATGTGAATAAAATTATTTTGATCATCAAAACAAACTATTTTTTTCAGTCTCTCAGGACAATTTGCTCTATGAATCTTGGAAAAGAATGAGTGGAATTCATATGTACTGAATTTATCTCTTTAACACTCAATTTTTAATGGCTGGTAAACACACATACAAATAACTACCAAACAAAAAGCAAAATTTAACATTGCTTGCAAAAAATATAATGCTCACTGATTATAGATCATTTTCCCAGATTGATATAGATATTACATAAACAATAAAATAAAATCTACAACTTGTGTTCTGACTTCAAGATGCATATTATTTCACTGATGATATAAGGAATAAAAGATGATAAATACGAATAAAAAATAGCAAATTAAAATGTAAACACATATTGACAGGAAACATATATCTAGACAGAAAGAAGAAATAAATGTAGTATAAGAGTATTTGGAAGGAGACTTCATTAAGAAGAAAGATTTGAGCTAGGTCTCACATAATATCCTGAATATTTATAGTTGAAAAAAGGAAAGTATAATCTAAATAGAAGAAACAAAATGAAGATGATTTAGGATGAGAGCCACTTAGCAGTCTGATGAAACCTGTGGAAATTTTCTTACAAAGTATTAAAAAGTATAAATCAGTTAAAGAAATGTATACTTAGGTTCTGAAAAAAAAAAAAAAATCAAATAGGTTGGAATACAGTTCTCCAAAAAAAAAAAGAAAAACAAACTTAAGTAGGGGCTTGAGAGCTTGCAAGCCACCACCTAAGATGCAACTATTCATCTCTCCCCCCCCCACACACACACCAGTCCAAAGAAAAGAAGGGTGAAGAAAATCAAAGATTCAAGGGAACAATTAGTCCAAAGAACTTATGGACCACATCAACTACAGCCTCCATGCAGTAAGTTGTTGTTGTTTGCCGTGGAGTCAGCCCCGACTCATAGCGACCCCTCCTTGGATTTCCGAGGCAGTATCACTACAGAAGTAGGATTGCCCAACCTTCCTTCTGAGGAGTGGCTGGTGGGTATGAACCGCCAGCCTTCTGGTGAGCAGTCAAGTGCCTTAGGCACTATGCTACCAGAGCTCCCCCATGCAGTATAATAAATTAAATAGTGTAGCTTTTCTAGCCATAAGTCTTTTTAAACTCTATGGTGGAATTGGCTGTGAGCAACTGAGTAGCTCCTAAGTATTAAAGTTAACCACCTGGGGTATTTCTTTTGGAAGCAGCACAAAGCAATTTTCTGAGAAGTTTGCTCGCTCTCAGGTATACAGAATCCTGATGTTGGGATTGGTTAGTTTGGCCACTCTGCCAGGCTCAAAAGGAGTCCTCCCAGAGGCAGAAGGGATCTCTCACTGCTGGCTGAGAGATGTAAGAGACATGCATTGCTGAGAGAGAGAGACCCGAGAGACACACACTGCTGAGGGAGAGATGAGACTGTCAGCTGAGAGACTGTGGGCTGAGAGAGACTGAGCGTGTTCCTGAACTTGAATTGTAGCCTGTTGCTTCTCTAAAAAAATCCATAATCTGTGGTTTTGTGTAGCCACTGCAGCAAATTATCGAACCCAGCAAAGAGTTGGTGGGTGCTGCAGGAAGAATGGTTGGTGAAAGGGCAGGAGGTAAGCAGCATGTCTGGCCTCTCAGGAACAGGCCTTGGGCTATTGATGTTGATTCTGTCTTCCTCTTGTGGGGTTAGAGGAGGTCAGAAGATGTGGCCTCCCTGTCCCTTTGGCACGCATGCCAGTAGCATGAGAACATAAGAAGCAAGTAGTGCCTGGCTACCACTACCAACTACTCTGATCAGGATCACAATAGAAGGTCCAGGAAAGACAGTGAGGGGAAAAAAAAGGGTAGAACAAAATTCAAAGTAATGAAAAAAGGCTACATTTACTGGTCTGATAGAGGCTGGTGGAATCCCCAAGACTGTGGCCCTTAGAAACTCTTCAAGCCTGGAAATGAATCCACCAGTGGGGATCAACTTCCAGTGAAATCATAGATAGTCCTGTAAAGTGAATAATAACACCGGGGAGGAACATGTTCCTCAACCATACGAGACAATCAGCTGTATGAGACTAAGAGGGTAGCAGCAGGAAGGATAAATGGAAAAAATGGACCCAGGGAGGAAGAGGGAAGAGTGCTGTAACATTGCAAGGACTGTATCCAGTGCCAAGAAACAAAATGTATATAAATTTTTGAATGGAAAATTAATTTTTTCTGCAAAAATTCCGCCAAACTTAAAAAAAAAAAGTTCCAAAAAATTGGATATTGTAAAATATGTTTCTTTAGTAATGCATTAGATAAGATTTAGCATTAGGCCTAAAGACTCCCATTTTTGAAATCACATAGGTGATACTGTGAGATATCTACAAAAAGTTTAATGTGATATGAATTATATTATTCTATTGGACACAAAATCATAGTTATTGCTAATGTTTTGTGTGTCCTACATTCACAATAGAAAGAAATGCTATTTCACTTTGAGGTCAAAGAAGTAAAAGTATAATATTTTCCTCAAAAGAGTTCATAGAGACCTTCAATTCTATCCATGGCCCTCTAAGAACCTTCAGAAGATAATAAGAGATCATCATTCCTCAAGCGCCTGGTGGGTGGGATGTACAGTAACAAGTGTTTCATGTTATTCTATAGCATTCTGAAAAGGAAAGATTGTTATAATAGACATTGTTCTTTAACAGATGAGAAAACTGAGGCTCAAGAACTGTTATGAAACCAGTCTAGGGTTTTATACTTAATGTGTTCCTGACGCAGGATTAGAATTTAAATCTGTTAGATTTCCATACTCTCATTATCTTTTCCCACTGTCCAATAACACCTCAGAGAATCAACAGAATACTTTTTTAAACATAATTAGAAAATGGGCAAACACAGTTCAAGGAGTTATTTTCTAGAGTATTAGAAGTAATAATTGGAAGTCTGTGGGCAGGTCCAGGCTTTAGAAGTTTCTAAAATATTTGCAAAGAGAAATAAATGCTTTAGAGCATAAGATATGAAGCACCAAGGGAGTGAACTGATGAGAATATACTTAAGGCAAAAAATAATCTGAAGAGAGCAATTTGAAGGATGGTAATGGTAAAGACTGTGGCAATCTTTTCTCTCCAATACTTTTTAAAATAGATCTAAAAATGACACATCATATTCAAGTAAGTTGAATAAACTAATTGACAATTAGTTGAATGCTTTTATAAATTTCCTGAAGGTGCTTTTATTTTTCTTTTCTAAAGACTTATTCTTACTTAGAACAAGACATTCAAAACATCTACTTACCAACACTTGTGCAACTTTCACCATCCACATCCAGCTTCCACCCTTCGTAACACGAACATTTGACTGTGTGCTTGTGCTGCTCACAAACTTGACTGCATTTGAGATGCCTACTACAGTAATCCACAATTTCACATGTTTTATTGTCTTTCTTGAGGTGAAGTCCTTCAGGGCAGGAACACACAATGCCTCTTCCAGGAACAACAGAACAGTGGTTGCTACAGCCTCCATTGTTCAGGGAACATTCATCTATAAAAGGGGAGGTTTTAGATCATACACACTGAACTGGTTATCATCAGGTCAACACTAATTGCTGAGCTCAATACTCTAAGCCTCAAACTAAAGCCAAGATATTATAAATGAATATTAGGAAGTCCTTTTTGTTTTACTTTTTTCCCAGGGATTGAATGAGGATGATGGAAGTTTCATCAAATGAGTAAATTTAATTTTCTATAACAGGAGTAGGAGCTCTGGTAGCATAGTGCCTAAGGCACTTGACTGCTAACCAGAAGGCTGGCGGTTCAAACCCACCAGCCCCTCCTCGGAAGGAAGATGGGGCAATCTACTT